CTCGGTCCAGCACAAACCGCAGGGATGCCTGTCTTTGCCAGTGCAGGAGGAATCTCCCTGCAGACAGTGGCAGTACTCATCTGACGAAAATTACCCAATGGCCTAAGGGTCCTCTGGGTCCAGCGCTGCTTCTCTTCCTTTGCCAGTTACTTATTCCATGTGCCTTGCTTAAAAAAAAAACAACCCCACCCAAAATGAAAACCAAACTTTGTCAAAGAAATGGAACAGCAATTTCATATGGCAGCCTACAAGGCCCAGAGGTGCCAGACCTTCAGGAACCTGGGTCTCCAGTTCTTTGGTAAGGATGCCCATGATACCAAGCGAGACTCGGCTTGGGAATTGCTTCAAGAAAACCAACCCCAAAACCTCATTTCCTCGGGAAACCCTCCGAAGCCGAGCCAGGCAATTAGCAGAGCAAGGAGCAGAAGGCTTCGCTGCGTCATCGGGTGTGATTCGTAATGTCTTAGGCCCATGGAGTGGCCTATCTTCTATAAAACGTTTTTTTTCCCCCAGCAGCTAGAAGGTCTTATTGTTTGTATTTCCAGGCCATTGTCTCTGCTTCCACTGCGGCACAGTCGGAGGCTACAGGCATATGTGGTGGGCGATACTGAAATACCTGGGATGGGTAGAAATTGGTGGTGGGTTTTTTGCCTCCCAGCATCTTCTCTAGTAGCTGTCTGCTTAAGCCAAGTTTATCTGTGCCCCCCTGCCATTGTCTGTGAAATAACTAACCCCTAGAGATGTAAGCAACTAGTTGACTATCCGATAAGCAAAAGCTTATCAGATAGTCAACTAGTCCCTCAACTAGCTGCTTCTGCGCCCCCTCGCTGCCTCTATCAGAGGTTCTCCCCCACACCATCTCCACAGGGGGTAGAGGGGACCGGGTGCGAGCCAGGAATCAGCTGATTCTCGGCTTGCACCCAGTCCCAGACACTGTGCCTCTGCTTTTTAAATGGAGTCAGAGCTGGCATGGGAATCGGCTGTCCCGGCTCGTGTTGGGTCCCCCCTTGCTGCGCTTCAGCCTTTTAAATGTGTTAAGAGCTGAGCCACAGCGGAGATCGCTCCCAGGACAGGAGCTAACCCTGCGGTGGCTCCCTCGCTTACCGACAAATCGACTAGTTGACGGAAAAATCCATCGATTAGTCGATTAGTTGATGAAACGAAATCTAACATCCCTGCCACCCACTAGCCTCTTTTGGCCCTGCGGGTGGCGCTGTTGGTCCCCCTACTGGGCAAGCTGGCTGATTCAAGGTGTCTTTGTGTAAGAAACATTCTTTGCTCCAGAGACCCAGAACTTTCCATCCCACAAACACTTTCCTTTTCCTTCCCCCGCCCGCCTCGCTCTGCAGCTCCAAGCCGCGGGGCCGGCTGGGCTGCCTTGCTCACGAGGCTGCTCCGCTGTTGCCTTCACAGCAGTTGAAGCACCCCAACCTGGTCAACCTGCTGGAAGTCTTCCGGAGGAAGCGGAAGCTGCACTTGGTCTTCGAGTACTGCGACCGCACGGTGCTGCACGAGCTGGACAAGCACCCGCGGGGGTGAGTAGCCACCGCCCGGGCCGGGGTGGGGGTTGGGAGAGTTGGCGGGAGTCGCTGCCTGCTCGGGAGGGCCTCGTTAATCTCAGTTGGGGGGTGGGGTGTCGGGGCTGCCTGGCAGTGTGCACGTGACCCTTGGTTACTGGGGCTTAGGGAGGCGGTTGGAAAGAAATGCCCAAGGGCCTGGGAGCTGCTCACCAAGGAGATTGTGTGGCTCAGCCCAGGCATTCAGAGTAATGGCTGGCCTGCATGGCAGGAGCACACTGGAGCGGGAAAAGGGCTAGAATAGTGTTTCTTAAACTGTGTTCAAAATGGCCGCCTTAAAGCGGCAGGCAACCCCCCACCTTTTTTTTTTTTTTTTTTTTTTTTTGCTTTAAAAAAAAACTCTTAACAAAAAATCCTTGGTGTGTTCCTCATTTTAAAAAAAAATTGTTGGGTGTTCCTCGGTCTTAAAAAGTTTAAGAAACACTGGGCTAGAGAGACCTAATGAGTCTGAAGAGCAGGAGGCAGCCCTGGGCGTGGGGGGGGGGAGTCACAATTGCCTGTGAGTAGCAATGAAATCCACCTCTGGGGGCTTAGGAAAGGCAGCAGCTGCTGGCTTCCGACCTGATGGGTTCCCATCAGCCACTCGGTAACACCCAGCTTTCTAGCCACCTTCCTGATTCTGTGAGTCCCCCATGGGATGGGGCCCTCTGGCCACACTGCTGAGAAGTAATGACCCCGTCCGGCCTGGATTGCCAGCCAGTCTGATGCTTAGGGAGCATTGGCCTCAAATTCTCTCTCTCTCCCCCCCCCCCCCGGTGGGTGTTCTGGGTCTGGGTTCAAGCACAGCCGTGGGGAAGCCTGCCCCCTGCTGCGTGTGTGAGGTCACTGCAGGGCCTTGCTGCCCAAGGCTGTGTTGACTCCAGCACCTGTGATCAACTCAGCATCTGCCTGGGTGACTGTGCTTAGCTTCACCTCCGCTGGGTCCCCTGAAATCTCCCTCTTGCCTGGCCCTTCCCTCCCTGCTGGGCTGGGCTCTTCCCCCCCCCCCTGCTCCCCGCCCCAGTCATGCTGGCTCGTGAGAACTGCAGGGGCCAGATTCAGGCAAGCCAGGGGCTGCATCCTGCCCTTGGGCCCTACATTCCCCACCCCTGAGTTAAAGGGTAGGACTATAATTAATACCCGTCAACATGGTTTTATTGAAAATAGGTCTTGTCAAACCTGATTTCCTCCTTTCAAAAGGTTGCAGGTTTGAGCGGTAAAAGTAAAAACGTAAACGTCATAGACTTAAACGTTGCTAAGACTTGACTTAGGCCCACGCAGGGTTCTGATTAAAAAAAAAACCGAGCACCGACCAATCACCGCAAAGCACGTTGTAAATGGATTAAGAACTGGCTGGCTGACATTGCTCACAAGGGAGTTGACGATGGTGAATTACCATCGATGGGGGCGTCGCTAGCGGGGATCTGCAAGGGTTGGTTCTAGCCTGACTCTTCGCCATTTGAATCGGTGAGCAGCAAGTAAATATAAAGCCGCTGCGGATGAAGTTTGTGGGTGACACGCGGGCTGGCGGAATAAAGCAGCGACAGGGCGGTTACGCGGAGTGGTCCGAATGGCTCAATAAGATAGGCTTTGTCATCCAGCCGAGTGCCAGCTCGTACATCTCAGGATAAGGAACGCAGGCCCTGCCTACAGAACGGAGGACGGTCGTGTGAAGCAGGGACTCTGGATTTAGGGTCCTAGCAGATGGGCAGCAGCTGGTGAGCTCCGTGCACAGCGATGTGGCAGAATGTGCCCTACACGTCCCATGAGCCCTAACGGGAGTAGTGAGTTGGGACAGGGAAGGGGGATGTCCCCTCTGCGCCTGAGACCGACACTAGAACACGGTGGCCAGTTCTGGAATCCTCGTCTTTGGAAGGATCTCGAGCGAGTGGAGAGGGAGCCACAGAGATGACTGGAAAGCGGGACCAAAAGGCCGTGCAGTGATGGACGTGGAGCCGAGTCTGTTCGGATTACCGAAAGGAGATGGAGCAGTGATTTGAGCAGAGAATTTGCCGGACCACAGGCGGTCAATATTGTCGAGCAGCAGTGCCACTGCTCACTGGGCTCTTAGAAGACTTTTAGGGGAACACGAGAGCTAAAGAACAGCACAGAGCACGGAGCGCCAGGACTGGCGGCTGTAAACAAACTGTATGAAGCCGCCGGAAACTTGGCCACACTCATGAAAAGTGGACATCCAGCAAACCGAAATCATTCCAGACCACGGATGTTGTCAGACCAGAGAGTGCCGGACTAGAGCGTTCTGGATTAGAGAGGTTCAATCTGTATTAAGCTTGCTGTAGGCGAAATAGATCGGATGTTTTATTTTAGAACAATCTTGGTCCGTGCCACTCTGAGTGGACGATTTTTGAAAACTTGATTAGAATGTATCCGTGCCTTCCCGGGGAGAAAATACCCTGTACCCCTTATCCTCACAGAGCAAGGCAGAGCAGCATCCGGGGGCTGGATATTAAATCTAAACAACTGGAAATAAGGCACAGAGATTGGTCCGCGAGGGTGATTAACTCTTGGAACAAGCTACCAAAGGAGGTGGTGGATTCTCCGTCCCTTAGGGTCTCAAGTCATGGCCAGGTGCCGTTCCGGACGACCGGCATTAGCCCAGCAAGTTACTGGTCTCAATCCAGGGGTAACGGGGTGACGTGTAAGAGCTGAGTGATATCCCGGAGGCAGCCTGGTTGATTTATTAGGTTCCTCCTGCCCTGTAACTCTTGAGTCCACAGAGCATCAAGAACAATGCAATGCTTTACAAACCGGCCAGCACTCAAATGAATGAGATTATTTGTCACTGCTGCGCTCGCTTGAAAGGACGTTTTATGGATGTTTCCAGGACTTTGGACTGAAGTTTCAGTTGCCCTACAGCAGGAGTATAAAGGGATCAGCTGTTTGTAAGAGCGAAGGGTTTACGCAGATGGAAACAAGAATGAAAGAGCAACATCTCACCCCGGACTGTCCCATGGCAGGCTGGCCGCGCAGGGCTGCTTCTCAATAAGACTGCCTGGCGTTCCCCGGGGAAGTAACGTTATTTATAACTTGGCCAGCTTTGAACCTGGGGCCAGATTGGGCTGCTGTCGGCCGGCAGCGCTGGACGTAACGTCCTCCCCGGACCATTTCCTGAGCTGGACTCTAGCCCTGGATTGGCAGGAGAGCCATAAAAGTGACGTGTCCAGAATGGGTGCTCAAATGGGACTGTTCCCCTTTTCTAGCAACTTTAGAAGGGATTTAAAAAAGGCAGAAAACATTTGTGCTGGGCCTTGGAAACCTCCGGACTATGAGCTCTGCCCTGCCAGTGGTTTGAGCACTGGCCTGCTAAACCCAGGGTTGTGAGTTCAATCCTTGCAGAGACCATTTGGGGCAAAAATTTGTCAGGGATGGGTCTTGGTCCCGCTGTGAAGGCAGAGGACTGAACTCAATGACCTTTCAAGGTCCCTTCCAGACCTAGGAGATAGGCAATCTCCATTATAAAAAAAAAGCACTTCTCAGTGCCTGAGGATTATGTATTACAGGTTGAAACTCTCTGAACTGGGACTCTCTGGTCTGGCCACATGTGGAGAGCTAGCGCAGGGGAGCCCTGCAGCTGGCAGGGCAAGAGGGCTTTTAGGGCAGCAGGAGCCGGGCACGCAGAGGTTGCGGGGCAACTGGTGCGGCAGCAAGAGCTGGGTGCTGAGCGGGAGCCTGGTGCACAGAGAGGCAGTGGGGCTGTTGGGCACTGGGGCATGCCTGGAGGCGGAGGGACTGCCCGGCAGGTCGGCAGGGCCAGCGAGAGGGGGAAGGCCGCCGGTCGGGCCGGGGCTGGCAGCAGCAGTGTGGCCAGAAATTACCTCCCTGGTCTGGCACACTCCCTTATCCGGGACGGGTCAGGTCCCAAGGGTGCCGGACCAGGGAGGTCCAACCTGCACTAACTGTACCGCCCCATAACGATGGGGATGTGGGTGCTGGAGGTTGAGGTTTAACAAAGATGTCCTCTCTCTAAAACGTTGGTTAGGCATTGACGTGAAATAGCTGGGAGGGAACAGAGCAAGCCCTTCCTCTCCTGTGCTCGGCTTTCTCTCGTGGGGTGGCTGAGCTACTGCTCCAGCCGTGTCACGCGTCAGAGCTGGCCTCAGTATTGTGCTTTGCCTCACTGTCTCCACTGCAGGCACATTGTTTGCAGGATGGCGGAAGAGTTAGCGGTGCAGGAGACGTGACTGATGAGACTTAGCTGCAGGACAGGAGGCGCCAGCAACCCGATGCTTGGTTGCCAGGGAGCAGACGCAATCTCAGCAAGATATGAATGGCACCAAAAACCTTGGATGGGGCTCAGCTGGTGTAAATCTTCGCGTCTTGTCATTGTAAACTGACCTTTGGTGCTTGCGTGAGTTGGGTCGGCGCTTGGGGTAGTGCCGGAAAGTACATAGGGGCCTTCAGGATGGGCCTTGAGGCTGCTACAGGCTTAGCGTTGCCTTAGAAGAGAGGTTCACACACCCAAAGGGTCTCTGTGAAACCCCAAACGGAGTTTCTGGCTGCAGCATAAAAATGGGGGAAGAGCAGACAGGAGCAGAGAGAAAAGCTTCTATTGTCAGTAACCTGGGTGGACGTTTCTCCAGGTTCCTGTATTTACAGAGCAGGGTGGCAGAGGAGAGA